CATGAGCCACCACCACCCGGCTGCTTGTAACACTTTTAGCCCACAATCAGTTTTGAGTTCCCAAGTTTCTACAGTGAGCCAGAGGCATGAGTCGACTGTCTCTTCAACAACGTGGATTTCACTATAGATGACAAACAGTGGGGATGCTAACATATCTGAAACTTTTCATCTCTTTCTGTAAACTTTAAAAAATTAATATCAGCTTCAGGGGATTGACTTGCATCTACCTCTCACAGGTCACATGGACTCCAGATAAGTACCACATTTCCCCATCTGCCTATTCCTGAGGGTGAGATCTCTTTCTCTCTCCTTAGTTTTGGGATTCCACTTCCCCAACTACCAGGACTAGGGTCTGGAAGTTTCAAATATACACCCAAGATAAAAATGTTCCCCTAGCCGGGCGTTGGTGGCACACACTTTAATTCCAGCACTCGGGAGGCAGAGGCAGGCAGATCTCTGTGAGTACAAGGCCAGCCTGGTCTACAGAGAGAGTTCCAGGACAGCCTCCAAAACAATACAGAGAAACCCTGTCTACAAAAAAAAAAAAAAAAAAAGTTCCCCTAGGGACTGGAGAAATGGCTCAGTGGCTAAGAGCACTAGCTGCTCTTCCAGAGGACCTGGGTTCAATTCCCAGCACCCACATGGCAGCTCACAACTGTCTACAGAGCCTGGACAGTGAATGAGACAGCCTGCTCCTCCAGTCTTGACCAGCATCCCAACTTTCTTGGGTCCCCAAAGATGTCTATGCTCCCAGACAACAGGAAGCAGTCTAGAGAGCATAGCACCCTCATTCCCATCTCACCAGTCACCCCTTCCTATTTTCTTACCTTTTATAATAAGCAAAAGGGAGGAATGTTAGTCAAGTAAGAACCACCCTCCTCCCTGCCTTCAGTGACTCAGAGCCTACACCCCATCATTACTATTGGCCTACACGACACGTTTCTGGCATCACCACTGTTGCCGTATTTTCCCTATGCTCATGCTCCACACCCCCTTTGAGCCCCCCCATCATGGCCCTGTCTGCCGCTGTTTGTTTCCATCCCAGCTCAGAGTCATCAGTTTTGCATCCTCCCCATGCCCAATAACTCTCTTGCATGAGGTCTGTTTCCTGGTGTGATTGTTGTGGCATCCCATGGGTCCCTGATCACCAAGATACTCTTTGACTGCAAAACTGTTTCACCTACCCCCTTGTGACCCATGTATATACAAGAATCCATTTGATCAGCGCTTTATTTCTCATAGTGTAACCGGAGTTTTTAGGGCAAACGTATGACCTCCAGCAGCCCTAAGAAGTCAGATTTGCTCATCCACCACAATACACCACCTAAAAACACAGCAAGCGAAAAATACAAGGAGAACAGCAGGAAGAGATGATCTAGTGTGACACCATTGGGATAAGAAACAAATAAGAAACTCCAAGCTCATCTTCAGGATAGACTTAGGTTTAAGAACAGGCCAGAGGTGAGGTGAATTCATCACTAAGCAGGCCTGGTCTTCTTGACCTGGTTTCACCTCCAGTCCTGCAAAGTGGTCTCAAGAAATTCTTTCATCTAAGGGAGAAAAAGTGGTTGTTGAGAAACAACTAGTTCGGCAGCCAGATGAGGTCTTGCCTTTATAGATAACGGTCCTTACCTGTGTTGAGGTTGAGTTGCTCTGATGTGCAAAGCTTTGCTGTTCCTCAAATCCAAGGTGACTCAAGAAAAAAAGTTAAGAACAACCCAGAATTATGCCTGTGCCTTCAAAGTAAAGAAGACACAAAACAAAAGCAGAAATGTCAAGTTTTGACCCTACTTCTAGGTACCCTAGTGAAGAGTCAATTTTTTTTCAAAAGCTGTTCCTAATGCTGTTTCACTATAGTTGCAAGCCTTCGTGATGATTTGGGGAAGTCTCTTCAAGAACAAGATTCCGCGGGCAAGAAAAATAGGTTTGCCAGTCTATGTTTCCCCTAATATCTAAATCCGGTTTTGAATTAAGTTGTTTCAAAGTTCCTGAGTCAAAAATGGCTACTACCAAGGTGCTCAGATGTGTTCCTGTCCTGATGCTCACATCTGATGGTTCTGGTTTATCTCATCTTTCTGCTTAACCAATAAACTCGCTAATTTTGCTTCAGTCAGAAAGCCTTTTCTGTCAAGCATCAAGGACCTGGGTGAACCTGAAGAGCATCACCCTTGTTCCCAGGCCCTCAAGGGGTCAATTATTATTATTATTATTATTGAGATTAGTTAGTTCGTGAAGGTTCATTGCACTTCCTGATGTCATCCTCTTGTAGCAGATGAAGAGACACACAAGGAATTGGGGGCCCCATCTGCAACTTGCAGCCCCCTGGGGAAACTGAAACACAGACACACACCTCCAAATCACTAAAAATCTGAAGAAGATAGCAGAATATTAAAGCTCTTCTCAGAGTATGGCGGGGCAGAAATGGACGGACCATGATACAACTGCACAGGTCAACAGCCCTTCAGAGACAGGAAATAAGTCACCCAGAATGATTTGACTGACAGTTAAAGAAGGCACTCTGCTGTTTAACTCTGGTTGAATATGTTTCCATTAGCTAACACAGCTTAAAACAATCACTGAAGCTTTAGTGATGAACTTTCAGCAGCAACCTTGTACCCATACCATTTGACACAGGCCACTCTGGTTGCAAGAGAGGTCTTAATGACACATGGCTTCCCTTTCAGCTACCGTATACAATCTAACTCAAAGCAGTGCCCTCCTACTTTGTTTCTGCACAGGGGTGGGGTTGAAACAATACTAGATTTCCCTCACCACACAACTCATACTCACTCCTTACTCTCAATTTCCTGAGAGCTAAAGTTATGCTTTAAGTTTATGCTGTGCCTAAGCGATCTCTAGAACAAACATGCCCCCTAACCTGTAAACCCCACTTGCCCAAGGACAGATAACTTCCTGGAATGCTGAGGCTGTTGTTCATGTAAGAGAACAAGCTTGGTTGTTCCAACCTCCCTACATTTGATCAAGCACATCCTGTGCAGTTGGACAGCAATATAGTCCAGTGAGGATGTTCAGAACAAATTACTCCAGATATTACTGTGGTGTTTTTAATGAGATGCCTCCATAATCTAATATATGTGAATATATATGTATTGGTTTAGAGGCGTGGTCTTGCTGGAGGAAGTATAACACTGGCGGCAGACTTTGAGAGTTAAAAGATGTGTACCATTTCTGGTTCTCTCTCTCTCTGCTTCTTGCATGAGGTTCAAGATGTTCTCAGCTTGCTAGTCCAGTCACCACGCCTGCCATGCTCAGCACAGTGATGGTGCTGGGCTCCTGGCCCTCTGGAACTGTAAGCCCAAGTAAACCATTCCCTCTCTACGGTGCCTTGGTTATGGCATTTTATTATAGCAGTAGAAAAGTAACTAGTGCAATTGCTCAGCAGAAATGTTACCAGATTCAAGTTTATCTGCTCCTTGCTTAAATTCAGGGAATGAGAGTTGAAAGAAAATCAGGTTTACTCAGGAGTTAGTATTCTGAGAAGATGAGGGAAACTATACCTCCCCAACAATTCCATGTTGGCGAGCTTGGGCAAATGAAAATACTTTCACAAAAAGGGAAAGGAAGTGCAGAGGCTAAGGGACAGAAAAACTACATCCTAAGTGGGACTTTTGTCATCTAGGACTCTTTTTTTTTTTTTTTTTTTTTTTTTGGTTTTTTGAGGCAGGGTTTCTCTGTATTGTTTTGGAGCCTGTCCTGGAACTCGCTTGGTAGACCAGGCTGGTCTCGAACTCACAGAGATCCACCTGCTAGGACGATTGTTTTTATTCCTTCTGCTGTCACAATCAGCCTTGACCTCCTGTTTATGTAATTCTTTAGATAAACATATGACTTTTCTGAAAATTAAATGTCACAGCAATATACATGTCATGTGTAATTATATATAGGATATGTATCAGAAAACATATAACTATTATATACATATGTGATGTAGGTGCAGCTCTCCCTTAAGAAGCTCACACCTGGGGCTGGAGAGATGGCTCAGAGGTTAAGAGCACTGCTTGCTCTTCCAGAGGTCCTGAGTTCAATTCCCAGCCACCACATGGTGGCTCACAACCATCTATAATGAGATCTGAAGCCTTCTTCTGGTGTTCAGGCAAAACAGTATATGCAATAAATCCTATGCTTTCCCTGAACATCTCTGTTAACCCCTATGCTTAAAATCCATGTATAAGATATCTTTCTATAAACCATTCCTCTGTTTCATACTAATTAACCTGAAATTCCCCAAGGGGAAGAGAACTCTATGAGCTGTTAGTGGCAACAGAGTGGAGCTGGTCCTTCTTCCTTGTTGCCACCGACAAGCCAATCCTGGACTGTTGCATGACAAAACCGAGACATGCAATTCTAATTTAGTTCAGTAGTCTGTTATTTTGCCCACTTTCAACTATTTAAAAACCATCGCATTTTATAATTGTGTAGGTGCACACGTATGAAATACCTGTCCACCTCACATCTTCCCACTCGCTTTGCTGACATCAAATGATGTCGGCAGTATGATTATGCTTTATCATCAAACCTCCTCCATAAAGTTAAAAACCTGTGCAGTCTTTAAGCTAGATTCAGCGCTTAAGTTTCTAATTGCAAGCAAACAAACGAAAGAAATAATCACACACGGAGACAAAAGAGTGCAGCAAGACTGGAATATCTAGAAAAGACAATTTCCCCGCCCCCCAAACTGGTTATTGGTCTTCTAAATTTCAATAGATGTAATATAGTTAGAAAACCAAAATGGGACATGTCTTTTGTATTAAAATATTGCCAAGCAATTCTTACTTTTACAATCATTAGTTGCCTTAAACCACCCAGTAAATGCTGCAGGTATCTCAGCCAAGTCGTTCAAAGCATCACCCTCCCTGGGCTAGAGGACGCTCGCGCTCCCTCCAAAACACGCGCTCCCCGGACGTAGGCGCAATCCCCGCCCCGCAGGCCCCGCCCCTCAGGCAACGCTCTCCGCAGGCCCCGCCCCGCCCTCCCGTCATGCCCCGCGGTCGTGGCTGTGGCGGCAGCGGCTGAGGCGGCGGTATGGAGGAGAGCGAGAGTACGCTGGGGGTGCTGTCCGGCTTCGTGCTCGGCGCGCTCACCTTCCAGCATCTCAACACCGACTCAGACACGGTGAGCCGGGCGCGCGGCTGTCGTCCCCGCCGTCCCTGCCCGCGCCTCCCGCCAAGCCGTGCGGGGTCGCGGACCCGGGCGCCCTCCCCGGCTCTCATCCGGGCCCTTTGGATCGGGTCGGGTCCCGGCGTGAAGGAAAGTTCTCCGCGGCCTCCGGCTCGGCGGGGACATCCAGCCGCTTCCCGCCCTCCCGACCCGGTCCTTTGCGAGGGTTCCGCGCGCCGGTTGCCGCGGGCAGCGCGCGTGCGCGAGCGGCTAGACCCGGGAGGCCGGGCGCGGGCGGGCTGGACGCGGCTGCCAGCAGCAGGGAGCTGGCCAGTCCGAGTTCGGGGGTTGACGGTGAGATTGTCGGGCCCTGCCGCTTTCTGTGCCGCTTTCCCTTACGAATGCAAGTTTGTCCTGGATCAGATATGTAAATGCATCTTTAAACTTTTGCCTACTTTCGAAGTCACACTGAGTAAAAGTGAAAAAAAAATTGCAAGTCCGTTTTTAAAATTTAGGAGATAAAGAACTCACTGTAAACCGGGACGTGGTGGCGCAACTCTTGAATGCCAGCTCTCGGGAAGCAGAGGCAGGCGGGTCTATGTGAGTTCGAGGCCAGCCTGGTCTATAGAACTATTTCCAGGACAGTCTGGGCCGTTAAATAGAGAAACCCTGTCTCAAAATCAAAGAAACTCAGAGTAAAACTTTGAGGTCGGAAAGTAGCATCTTGTAAAAAACCTGTATGCCTGTATTTTAAAAGAAAACAGGCACACAGTAGCCCCTTTGGGGAGCAGACGCTGAACGTGAATTCCAAATCTTTACTATTTCATAATTTTTTACACAGATTTAAGTCTGAAAAACAGATCACGGTGTCGTTCCATTGCTTAGAAACCACTGACTCCCTTGTGCTCACCATTCACAGACCCCTGTCCCTTCAGTCCTAGATTCCTGTGCTAGACCTGAGTGTTTACTTCCTGTTCACACATTAGATAACTAAGGAAATTCCCAGCTACAGTGGGAACTCCAGGCTTCTTGGGGTTTGGTTTTAGACAGACGTCCAGACTGGCTACCAGCATAACTAAGGGATGGCCTTCTGTCTCTGCCTCCCAGGAGTTGGATTATAGGTGTGCCACTGGTTTATTTAGTCCCCGGTTGTGTCCCTGGGGGGGTTGAACCCTCCCTGTGTGCTGCAATAGTGTATGTCTATGGTGGTAATGGACTAGCCCTAAAATGCTATTAAATTGTTTCTTTGAGTTGCCCTGGGCATGGTGTCCAGTCTGGCAGGAATACAGGAAAAGACAAACTGCTCTGCTGGACCCAGACAGACTCTAGGCTTTCTTGCTTTGGACTGCTAAGTGCTTCTAGTTCTGCCTTCCCAAATGATTACCCAGCCCTTAAAGCCGTCTTTCTCCACACGCCTTCCCAGTTATCCACACTTGTATGCACTGTAAACTACTGAGAAAGTATGAATAGAAGACAAACAGTAACCCTATCCTGTGTGTTTCATATTTTTATTCTCACAGGAGGGATTCCTTCTGGGTGAAATGAAAGGTGAAGCCAAGAATAGCATTACTGATTCACAAATGGATAATGTTAAAGTTGTTTATACAATTGGTGAGTCACTTAGTTCTGTATGTTTCTTGATAGTTTATGTGCTGAATGTAATCAGTATAAATGTCACTTCTTTGTTTTGTAACATTTTAATTGTTGTGGGGGATACACATGTGTTATGTATAATTGCTAGCGTCCTTTCTCTCCTTCCGTCTTGTGGGAGTCAAGGATTGAACAGCGTAGGGCAAGCTTGTCAGCAAGTTCCTTTCCCTGCTGAGCCATCTTGCCTCTGTGTGTGTGTAAACTGTTAAAATATATTCCCTAAATATTATTTAAAGCACTGCAAAAAAAAAAAGTAGGTTTAGTGGTGCACACTTGTAATCCCTGCACTTAGAGGGTGGAGGCAGGAGGATCAGAAGTTGGGTTCTACGTGTTTGTCTTTGGCTAGTGAATACAACACGTAGTTTCAGGTGGGAATCCACGTGGGATTTGTAGCCCTGTGTCTCTGGGGAGTCACATGATTCCTCTGTGTCCGCTCATCTTTGAAGTTAGAGTGGTGTCTTGGGTGTGAAGAGTAAATGAAGTGCTCTGTGCATAGTGAAGTTCCTCAGTGGGGTGGGTAAACAATTGCTGCACTTGTAACCTGTAATCTTTTTTTTCTAGACATTCAGAAATATATTCCATGCTACCGACTTTTTAGGTGAGTAACACTATTAGTCAAAACAAGTAAACTACCCACTCTGAGAATTAGTCTTTGCAAGCTAAGTAATTTAAAAAACTAACAAGTGTCTTAGTTACCAGTCATTCATGGAAGGAGGGCTGTTGTTTGTTTTAAGCTACACTAGTGCATGTCCACCCAATCTGTAATTCTTCATTAGTTACTTCGAGGATTGCATTTTTTTCTCACACCCAGTCCTCTTATTATAAACTCACCACTGACATGTTCTCAAATGTCAGTCACAGTCCTTTTTTCCATCTTTTGATTCCAGTTTTGATTGTTTCTCTTTCTGTTACTCAGTTACATTCTTGGTCTACTCTATTTGCTGTTGCATTTCTCTAGTGTAAGTTTACTCCTCAGTTTGACAGATAGTAGCAGAACTGCTGGTGTTAAGGCTGTGTTTTACTACTGTCTTAATGAGATTGCATTCATAAAAAACATAGATAATACATTTTCACCAAGCAAACAAATGTCGCCATATATAGTGTCATTTTAAAGGTTCGTTTATGGTTTATATCAGTCACACAAAAAAACTAATCACTATCTTACATTCTCACACTTTTTGTATACATCTTTAAGACTGTATGCATTATGGGCATTCGTGGTAAAGAAAGGTCTATGGTGAGGAAAGGGTGTGACACAGCAGCTTGGCATCTTATCTGATGCACCAGGGAAAGTTAGTCTTCCTGCAGTCCTTTAACTGTGGATACAGTGGATACACAAAGTATTTGTTGAATGAGGAATTCTTAGTGGAACCTCATAAAAATGACTGGAGGGCCTTCTGGACCAGTAAAGGATTAAGAGACAATAAAAAGTGACCACAGTAAGAATTAGGCCAATTTAGTAGTGTGTCTGAGCTGCAGAGACCACCTGAGCCACTAATGTCTGGGCCTTGTCAGCTCTTAAGTCAAAGGTAAAGAGGACATGAGTAGAGCTATCTGGAAATATTTCTTATTCATAAAGTCATTATACCCTTCATCTTTAGTTAAAACCAGAACAATAGGCCAAAACTCACGATTTAGTAGAAAACACAGAACTACTTAATGCAGTGGTTCTCAACACCTAACACTATCAGAAAATACAAGTATTTACATTATGATTCATAATAGTAAGATTCAGTTACGAAATAACAGCAAAAATAATTTTATGGTTGGGGTTACTGTTGTAATTTAAGAAAAGTGGCACGTGAGAGAAAGATGCCATGTGGCAGGGTTCAAGCAACAGGAAAGAGTAGACAGGGACAAGAGGGAGAGAGACAGAGACACACACACAGACAGAGAGAGAGGGATGGGAGATGGGCAGGGCCCTTTGAAAAGGGAGCACAGTGAATGTGCACAGGTGGTGCTCTTCTTAGTGGCTGCAGCTGAGGGTGTGTCCTGTCAGAACCCCAAGGACAGGCCAGTACAGATGCCGGAATACTAACAGTTATACTGTATTAAAGGGTCACAGCATTAGGAAGGTTGAGAACCACTGACTTAATGGTAGGACAAAACTAGACAAAATGGCATTTCTTTGTAATGGTTTGTGTGTGTGCCATTGGGGAGCATGTTTCTACTAAGCTGCAACCCCAGCCTCTAGACGTTCTAACAACCTGTCATGTTGGTGCTTCCCCCTTATAACTCATATAGGTGAATATATTTAAAACGAAGTCTTCTGGTGACATCTCTTGAAGTCCAAGTTGGACAAGCATTAATACCCAGTTTTATAGTTACTACAAGGGTCATCAAAGTAGAACTCTGAGCTGTTTTCATGCAGCCCTTTCTCTGACCAGGTTTACTATATGTTTAAGGGATGTGGGGAGAGTAAGAGGAAGAATACACATTAGGAAGCAGATGGGATGGAAAGGCTTGAAATATTTTGACTGGTGGTTTATAGATAAACTGTGCCAGCTCTGCACTGACTGTATTGCTTCTCAGACTTTGCAACTGAATACACTGACTCTTTGCTCCTCTAAGAAGTCTACAAGTTCGATGAAACCTAAAACTTAGTAACTTAAAAATTAGGCACTTAGGTATGAATTCTTTACTGTATATACTTTTGGGGAGTTGGGAGATAACACAGGGTCTCTTATGCAGCCCAGGCTGGCCTAACACTCCAGATTGTCCTGTCTCAACCTTTGAAGTGTTCAATTATAGGCATGTGCCACCCACCACACCTGGCTTACTATTGGTCTGTGCTGATGCACCCTGATACTCAGTGTTCTCACGTGTCTGCATTATTGGTCTGTGCTGATGCACCCTGAGGTACTTACTGCGTTAGGCACCAGGTTGAGATGTTTAGAAATGGACCATGCTAGAGAAATACAGCAATAAAAATCTTTCTTCCATTTTCTCTCCTCTCTCCTCCTGTTCTTCTGCTCTGTCCCCCACTCCTCTGGAGATTGATCCCAGGTTTCTGTACCTGTCATGATTTCAGTCTTTATCCAAGTCACACATATCATAGCAGATGTCCTTCAGTGAACCCAGCTACTGTCTCTCAGCCCATTAAAACTTTTTAAGTGGAGGTTAGTTGTTGTTTCTTTGTGGTACTGGAGATTGAACCTAGGGCTTTACTCCTGCCAGGTCACCTGTAATCACAGTTGTTTATTTATTTGAGACATTGTCTTACCAAGTTGCTGGCCTTAGACTCAGTCTTGTTGCTTAGGCAGAACTGGACATCCCTTTGCCTTAACCTGCTGAGTGGTTGGGTTTATAGGCCTGTACCACCAAGGTCAGCTTAAAATGTTGCCAATTAGAATATAGTTGGTCAGTTTTCAGTAAATAAATATTTCCAGCATATACTTGAGGATTTCCAGTTTAAAATAAACCCTATAAAATACTACAGAATTTTGTTTAGCATTCAGCATTATAAAAAGGAATATTGTTCATCTTAATGCTAAAAGGAAGGAGAGAAGGACTAGGACTGAGGAGACAACTCCACTGTTAAACTACTTGCCACACAAGAATGAAGACCTGGGTTTGGATCCCCAGCAACCATGTAAAAGCTCCATGCATCCATAACCTTAGTGGCAGGGAGTGGGACAGGGAGGGGACAGGAAGATCCCTGGACCTCATTGGCCACCAACTAGCCAAATCTATGAACTCCGGGTTCAGAGAGAGACCTTGTCAAGAATTAGGGGGAGAGTGATCAAGGAAAACAGCTTTTATGTGCTTGTCACCTGATTACATATGTGCACACACAAACTGCACCCACACAGGAAGGAACTAGGACTTGGAGTCTCTCTTACAGGAGAAGCAAAGCTAGAAAGAAGTAAATGTTCAGATTGTTTACAACTATTCTTTTGTGTCTTGGAAGTCCAGCTACAGAAACTATTGGACTAATCCAGATTTACCCTCCCCTCACCAGTCTCCCCAGATACCCTAAACAAACAGTTTTTGGAATTAGCAACAAATAAGTTACCTTTTGTTACTGCTCTTTGTCACTCATTATATATTCTATCAGGGATTATCAGTTATTAATAAGTAAACTATGAACTGGCTGTATGAACTTTCTTATACTTGTCTTTAGTGAATAGTTTACTGTTTTATTTTAATTTAAAAGTATGATAGGCAAACTCATACCTAGAAGTTTTCTGTTGTATATTGTTTTTGGTTATGGACCTAAAGTTTCTACTATGTAAACATTAACTTTTTAAAATTTCTCTACTTCTTAAGATAGGCAAATAGATATGCATTTTGATTATAAAGTATGGGTTAGAAGTAACTAAAATTTAAAATGCTAATAAAATTATTCAGATTTCCAGCTTACTTGAAATCTCTTTAATTTTGATTTTTGTAGCTTTTATAATTCTTCAGGTGAAATAAACGAACATGCATTGAGGAAAATTCTTTCAAATGCCAAAAAGGTATTACCTTTTCTTTGTTAGTACTGTTTGCACTATTTTGTGATCTAAAAACATAGTACTTTTACAGAAGCCTTAAGTGGTATTAGTCTATTCATTAGAGCATGTAAGAAGACTTATTCTTCCCATAAATTCAGGCAGTGTTTCTCTAAAAGCAAAACTAGTCATTGCAAGTATCCATCTTGGGGCTGGAGAGATGGCTCAGTGGCTAAGAGCACTGGCTGTTCTTCCAGAGGACTTTGATTCAGTTCCCAGCACCACATGGCAGCTCACAGCCAGATATAAATCCAGTCCCAGGAGATAGGCTCTCTTCTGTCCTGTGTGAACACATGCATGCACATAGTACCCAGACATACAAGCTGGCAAAACATTCATGCATATAAATTAAAATGAAAAAAAAATCCATCTTACTATTTCCTTGACTACTGTGGTTTACACTGACTTCTCTGTGGTTTATTGCTTAACCACACACAGCCTTTTACAGTCTGATTTATTCTAGAAGATAATGCATTTCTGTTATTTTCACATAGCTGCACTTTGTTTTGTCTTCTGTTCTCAAACTGCTATATTAAGTGCTGGGACTTCAGATACATATCACAGAGCCTGGCTTTGCAGTTACTATTTTATATAAATGCAGAGACAGCTTCTTATACAGCAATAATCCTTCATGAACTTGATATTCAGATAAAAGTTAGTGAACAGTCAGAATGCCCATCCCCCCCTTTTCTGAGTTACATATTTTTGTCTTTAAAATTTTATGTATCCAAGAATAAAAGATTTCATGAAAAGTTTTGGTCACTGGGGATGATGGCACACATTGTTTCAGAATGAAACTAGATTTCATACTAGAAGTTTCTTTTAGATGCTGGGTTTATACATATTTATTCTAAGTATGTGGGAAGCCAAGATGTGAGAATTTCAAGTTTGAGACCCACCTAGGCAACCCAGTGAGATCCTGACACAGGCTGTGGATGTAGCCCTAGGATTGCCTGCCTCAAATAAAGCCCTGGGTTCAAAATTCCCTAGCACAAGTAATGACAACCTGAGATCAATCTGTGGAAGCCATATGGCGTATGGAGAGAACAGTATGTTGTCCTCTGACCTCCCCATGGGCAGAGCACCTAATGTACATACATACATACATGCGCGCACATGCATACACGTACATAAGTCTGTGTAAAAATGTTTTAAAAGGAAATGGTTGGACTTCAAAAAATTATATGATGGCTTAGTGGGAAGAGGCACCTGCTGTTAACCTGGATGACTTGAGTTCAACCCCTCAGAGTCGCGTGATAGAAAGAGGGAGAGAACTGACACCCCATAGTCCCCTGACTCCACACTCCCCACTGACACCCATAGTCCCCTGACTCCACACTCCCCACTGACACCCCATAGTCCCCTGACTCCACACTCCCCACTGACACCCCATAGTCCCCTGACTCCACACTCCCCACTGACACCCCAAGTAGTCCCCTGACTCCACACTCCGCACTGACACCCCAAGTAGTCCCCTGACTCCACAGTCCCCACTGACACCCCAAGTAGTCCCCTGACTCCACACTCCGCACTGACACCCATAGTCCCCTGACTCCACACTCCCCACTGACACCCCAAGTAGTCCCCTGACTCCACACTCCGCACTGACACCCATAGTCCTGACTCCACACTCCCCACTGACACCCGTAGTCCTGACTCCACACTCCCCACTGACACCCGTAGTCCCCTGACTCCACAGTCCCCACTGACACCCATAGTCCCCTGACTCCACACTCCCCACTGACACCCATAGTCCCCTGACTCCACACTCCCTCACACAGACAGCAAACACAATGCATTTCTTAATTTGATTATTAGGAAGTACACGTATAAGGCCATTTTCTCTTGAAAAGACATGTTTTTGAGACATAGCTTCACTATGTAGCCCACTATGTCTTTGAACTTGTTATTCTCCTCAGCCTTTCAAATGCTGAGATTACAGGTGCAGGAACCACTTCTAATTTTTTCACTCTAATATGCAAACATATAGTAGTTGGTTTTTATTATAATTACTATTCAGTAATGAATTGTTTTCCAATTTAAAACAGTTATTATTATTAATCATGAATTTCTTTGCATGCTACAGATTACAAAAATTTTTCAGATGATCTTAATAATTTTAAACAGCTTAACCTTTACAAATCAAGTGTGTATATAGGACATGAATGTGTTTATAGGCAGTGATTCCTGTATGTGAAACAGTGGTGTTGGTATTTCCTTCATGTAAATTCTTTTTTTTAATGATTTATTTATTTTTATTTTATGTGCATTGATGTTTTGCCTGAATATATATCTGTATGAGGGTGTAGGATCCCCTGGAGGTAGAGTTTCAGGCAGCTGTGACCTGCCATGTGGGTTCTGGGAATTGAACCCAGGTTCTCTGTAAGAAGAGCCAGTGCTCTTACCCACTGAGCCATCTCTCCAACAGAAGATAGTAATTGCAAGATAGTAGATATTTTGTTTTGTTGTTAAATTAGAGTAGGAACTGGGAGTGTAGCTCAGTTGGTAAAGTGCTTATCTAAAGACCTGGGTCTTTAATAATAATACCTATAATCCCAGTACTAGAGAATAGAGCAGAGGATCAGAAGTTCAGGGTCATCCCTGGCTACATACAGGGTACACAAGACCCAGTTTACAAAAAAGCAGATCAAGAAATTTTGGAGGAAGGTTGTCTTGGTGTTTGAGGTTTTTTCTTTTGTTTTTTTCTTTTCTTTTTTTGGTTTTCAAGACAGGGTTTCTCTGTGTAGCCCTGGCCATCCTGGAACTCAGTTTTAGACCCAGACAGGCTTCAAACATTCCTCTACCTCCTGAACACTGGGACCAAAGGTGTGCACCACCACTGCCTGGCAAGGTTTTTTTGTTTGTTTGTTTGTTTTGCTTGTTTGTTTGTTTTCCTGCATTAAAATTGAACGGGTTTTTTTGCTAAGTTTGTTTACTTTACAAAAGTAAAGTATATAACTAAGTATATTCTTGACTTACTATAACCCAAATTTACCAACAGTTGGAAAAGCCATTTTAAGTTCCGCAAGTTTTGCCAGGCTTAGTAGTGATGTCTTAATCCCAGCATAGGCAGGTCTGGTCCACAGAGGGAGTTCTAGGACAGCCAAGGCTACAGAGAAAACCCTGCCTCCAAAAAACAAGACTGGCAGGGTTTTTGTTTAGTTTTGCTTTGTGCCCGGGCTACCCCGCAGTTTGTTGCCTCAGTCTCTGCTGGAGCCACTGTGTGTACTGCAGTTACTGCCCGAAGACCATCATTTTATTGCTAAGCTATAAGAAGACATGTAATAATTGGAACCAGTGTACATTTAATTTCTCCTGTTCTCTTTAGACTGTGGTGGGTTGGTACAAATTCCGCCGTCACTCGGATCAGATGATGACATTTAGAGAGCAGTTGCTACACAGAAACTTACAGACACAGCTTTCAAGCCCAGAGCTTGTTTTTCTACTGTTAACACCAAGTATAACAACAGAAAGCTGCTCCACTCACTGTCTGGAACACGCCCTATATAAACATCAAAAGGGGTAAGCACTGGTTGGTCCTGCTGTTTTAAGTAGAAAAACACTGGTGGTGTTTTGATAGTGCCTGGTGGCTCTGTCTTCATGCCATGTTACATAAGGTGTCACAATCACAGCAAAGTCAGTCTTACTGACTGTTAGTAATAGATGAGAAGACAAGGGCCACGCAAGGAAATAGAAGCCCAGGGTGCAGGGATGACCTGGACTCTGTGTTCTGGAACTGAAAGGGTTACTGTCCTACTCATTTAAGTGTGGACTGGTACAAACTCTTCACAGACAGCACTTCTTGATGGCCTGCCACAGTGAATCCAGGCAGTCCCCTTGAATCACTTATCTCAGACACTTAGGCATAGATAGAACCAAACACTTCATTCAGATTTTTGATTATTTGCATATACCCACTGAGATATCTTGGGAGTGGAGCAGACTCAAGTCTAGATAAAAAGTTCATTTATGCCCATAAATATAATCACATAAGTTTTTGGGGTTTTTTTAGATCAAATTAAAAAATTTTTTTTTTGGTTTTTACAAGACAGGGTTTCTCTGTATTGTTTTGGAGGCTGTCATAGAACTCGCTCGGTAGACCAGGCTGGCCTTGTACTCACAGAGATCTGCCTGCCTCTGCCTCCTGAGTGCTGGGATTAAAGGCGTGCGCCACCACCGCCCGGCTCAAATTAATTTTTAATAATATTGCAAATGCTTTATTTATTTACCTACTTATTTATTTATTGGCAGTGTGTAGCCTGGGCTGGCTATGAACTTGAAGTCTTGCTGCCCAAGTCTTCCTAGTGCTAGGATTACAGATAATAGGTTGTCATATTGTAACATGTGTTTGTACTGATCTGTCACATGAAAGTCAGACAGGAAGTCATCATTTGTTTTTGTTATATTTCCTTGAAACCTTTTATAAACTGAGCTAGTTAAGAAATGGATAGATGAGCCTGTCTGGCTTTGAACCCACAATCTTCCTGCCTTAGAATTTCCAGACATGGAAAGAACTAACTTCTGACACTGTCCTCTGAACACATGAACATTATAAACATACACACAATAATAATAAATGAACAGCAACAAAAAACTCAGGTGTCACCTATATTGTCTGACATGGCCCTTCCAATTCACCATTCTCAGCCTTCTGAGGCCTCGTCACTTCCCTATTTACATGTATATGGCCAGGTGAAATAGCCATTAAATCACTTTGATACAACTTTTTATGCTATGTACCTCTTGACTTTTTGTTTTGTTTTGGAGTCAGGGTTTCTCTGTGCAGCCCTGGTTGTCCTAGAACTCTCTCTGTAAACTACATCAGCCTCCAACTCTGCCTGCCTCTTGCTTCTGAGTGACACCTTTTAAAAGCTAGTTGCTTCAGGAGCTAGAGATAGTTCAGCATTTAAGAGCACCAGCTGCTCTTCTGCGAACTCCTGTTCAATTCCCAGCACCCACATGACAGCTCTTAACCATCTGTAACTCAAGCTCCAGAGATATGTTCACTTTTCTAACCTCCGAGGGCACTAGTGGTACATGGATATACTTAAAACACTCATACACATAAAATAATAATTTTTAAAAACTAGTTGTTTTAACTTAGCTTATCTGGGAAAATTCTTGCTAAATAATAATGGGGAGGCTGTTTTTATTTTAATGCTGTTAGGAAAGCAGCCTGCTCTGATGTCCTTTTAAGCTCTGTTTTAAATGTTTTTTTCATCAGGCTTTTTCACAGGGTGCCTTTGGTGGTTGCCAATCTGGGAATGTCTGATCAACTGGGCTATAAAACAGAGTCTGCTTCCTGTACGTCCACTGGCTTCAATAAAGCCGTGAGGACACACAGGTAAGATTCTTACTCAGACAATAAAGGCTAAGTGAATCCTTGTGGAACTGGAGTAGTTTCACCTTTCTGTATTTCCTTTTAGACTTGTCAAAGTTCTATACACTAACCCAAGGAAGTCATCTTTTTTACAGTTCTCAATTTTTTAATGAAGATGGATCATTAAAGGAGGTGCATAAGATAAATGAAATGTATGCTGCTATACAAGAAGAATTAAGGGTAAGTATTTAGGGACTGCTTCATATTCATATCTATAAGTCACTATGAATTCCTTCATAGAAAAATTAACATTTGTTGAATATATGTTGTATTCCTTTGACTTCCACAATAGAGTTTACCACCTCTGGGGAAGAGCTATACAAATATAATGTTGCTTTCTTTATATCATGGCTATAGTTATTTATTTTCTCTCTCTTCTTATTTGAAAAATGATCTCACTGTGGAGTCCTGGCCTGCAACTTGCTAAAAGGCCAAACTGTCCTTGAACTTATAGATTCTCCTGTCTCTGCCTCTCAAATGCCTGGCGTGTGCCACCAGGCCCTTCCCCGTAGTCTTTTTAAAGATGAAGAGGGAAGCAGATATTTAGAAACAAACCATCACTACAACATTATAGTCTGTCTTACTGTTTCAGTCACTGTAGAGTCATGAGATGGATCTCAAGTGCAGGAGAGTCATTGGGCCAGTGTAAAATAAATGGCAGGGGACTGAGGGTTACCGCAGAATCTGACCCAAGAGAAACTGAGAGAACTTCTGGTCAGGAGGAGCCGTGGGTCATACATTCTACAAAAGCTTAGCTGAGAATAACACTGATTTGGAATCCTGCGCTCAGCAACACCATGAGATACGGTTTCTCTGTGTAGCTTTGGAACCTGTCCGAACTCGCTGGCTTCGAACTCACAGAGATCCACCTGCTTCTGCTTCCTGAGTGCTGGGACTAAAGGCATGCACCACCACACACCTAGCTCTGAAACCCTTTCTTAAAGGAAGAAAAAAGTTAAATCCTTAATTGAACAAAGTGACCCAAAGTTGTTCCATAGGCATGTTCTAATGTCCTCTCCATGTTCAGTCATTGCTAGGAACAGTTCTTAGGCAGTGTTACTTAAAACAGGCACTATGGAGCTCAGGATGTAGCTCATTTGGTAGAACACTTGTCTAGAAAAGTTTGATCCCCAGCACTACATGATGGTGTACGTCTGTAATTGCAGCACTAGGGAGGTAAAGGTAGGAACATCAGAAGTTCAAGGCTATCCTTGGCTGTATACTAAGTCTGAGGTCAACCTGGGATGTGTGAGGCTTTCTCTAATAAATTGCAAAATCATGACTCCAAAACTGGAGCCATCGGTCAATTGTTTTCTTCAGTTGGATATCTAAAGTCTGTTTTCATGGCAGTCATTCTTGTCAGTAGAGCATAGGGGGGAAAAAGGCTAACACAATTTGTATACTACTAACATTATATACTATTTTACTTACTCATTTATTTGTTTGCTTGTTTTTCGAGACAGAGTTTCTCTGTATTGCTTTGGAGATTGTCCTGGAACTCACTCTGTAGACCAGCCTGGCCTCGAACTCACAGAGATCCGCCTGCCTCTGCCTCCCAAGTGCTGGGATTACAGGCATGAGCCACCAATGCCCAGCACATTATGTACTATTTTTTAAAGATTTATTTATTTTGATGTGATTCCCTTTTTTGCCTTTATGTCTTTGTGTACAGTGTGTGTCTAGTGCCCTCAGAGGTCCAAAGAGGGCATTTGTTCCTCTGCATCTAGAGTTAAGACAGTTTATTAGCTCCCATGTGGGTGCCAGAAACCTAAGTCAGGTCCCCTTAACTGCTGAACCATCTCTCTAACCTCCACATACTAATTTATGCAATGAATAAACAACACACAAACTTTGAAAATCACACTGCAGCTGTCATCAGTTCCCCCTTTTATTGAAAATGAATTTTTCCCTCATATAATACATCTTGATTATAGTTTCCCTCACTTTACTCTCCCCAGTACCTCCCCTCCCATCCAAATCTACTCCCTTTTTGTCTCATTTGAAAACAAACAGGCAAGCCTTGGTGACTCACTCCTTCAGTCCCAGTATTTGGGAGGCAGATCTGAGTTCAAGGCCAGCCTTGAAGTTCTAGGTCAACTGGGACTACATTAAAAAAAAAAAAAAAAAAAGAAAAAAAAAGAAAAAAGGCTTCTAAAGGATAATAATGAAATATAATAAAGCAAAAAATAACACATCAGAGTTGGACAAAACAGAAGGAAAAGTGCCCAAGAGAAGGCACAAGAAAGAGACACACTGCACTCATTCTCACTCAGGGATCCCATAAAAAAACGCTAAACTGGAATCCATAATACATATGGAGAGGACCCGGCAGACCCAGGGGCCAGTGCATGCTGCCTCAAAAACTTTGATCCTGCTGGTTTAGGCCTTGGGTTATTGGCATCCTCCATCCCCTCTGACTGACATTCTTCCAGTGTCTGTTCATAGAGCTCCCTGAGCCCTAATGAGGGATTAGATAAACATAGGGCTGAGTGTTCTAAGATTTCTCACTCTGCATGTCTGACTGTGGGTCTCTGTTATTTGTTCCCTTCTGTTGCAGGAGGAAGCTAAGTAGCTTTGTTTGTAGACAGCGTCTCACTATGTAACCATGGCTAGCTTGGAATTATGTGGACCAGGCTGGACTAGAAGTCACTGAGGTTCGCTCGCCTCTGCCTCCCAAGTGCTGGGATTAAGGGAATTTGCTATCACACCCAGTGGAGAATGTCACCATTTTCAAGTGATTATCTTTATTTTGCCAGTTTTCCCCTAACACATAGATACTTTGACATACTTGAGAGTGAATTTGTATTGTGATTTAAAAAAAAAGATTTATCATTAAACATTTTCACTTTGCCACATAATCTTTTACTTTTAATGCAGTATTAAATCTTAAATTGACAGGTAAAACTTTATCATGTAAAGCCACGTGTAATGCACACCTGCCACTCTAGAACTGTGGAGGTGCAGGCAAGAGGATCAGGAATTCAGTGTCATCCTCAGAAACACAGTAAGTTTGAGGCTAGCCTGGGCTACACGAGACCCTGTCTATAAAGGAGGGGGAAAATCTTTAGTAAGGTGTGTTATATCTAGGAAGATAACAAATGCCTGTGTCAGCATTTTTGTGGTTAGAACACTCAGTATTGACTCTATATTTTTCCAAGTAAACCATTTTTAGTTTTTCTCTCAGCACCATATTTCTTTACCCATATTTCTTTCAGTGGACTTTTATTATGATTCTGTATCTTGATTATTTGAATACTTCTGGGCAGATACCATAAAAAATATCCACTACAATGGGCTGTACTTACCTTATATTTTGAAATTAATGATATTTGGTTTAACAGTAAGAAACATCATTACCGTATATAAACTTTTGTTAGGTATATTTCCAAAATGAAATTACTCATTCTTTTCAAACTGAGACATATAGCAAGCATCAGTTTGCTTTTCAAGTGTAGCTTCTCTTACAGAATTATATATAGTCTTCCTTGATTTTCTTAAAACATAGTCACTTTTTATTTTATTTTAGCATGGGTTTTTTGTTGGTGTTTGTTTTGTTTGGTTTTAATGACACAGGCTCTTGTGTAGCCCAGGTTGGCCTTGAATTCCCTATAGATAAGGATAACCTAAGGATAATCTTTAATTGTTAATTCTACTTCCAGTAAATGCTAGAATCAGTTACACATCTCAGTTCTGTTGGGGCAGGGTACATGTTGGGACTTGAACCCAGGGTACACACATTCTAGGTAAGTGCTGTACACTGAGCTCTATCCTCAGCCCAATACATATTTCTTTTTTATTTCAAAATGAATTTTATCTTACTTCTGTTTTCAAGGAAATAGCTGGTCCACAAATAAATAGGAAGCCAACACATTCAAGAAACATGTGGCTAATTTACAGAGCAACATCAAGTGCTTGTTATTAAGGTGGTTTACACGAAAGGTTAATGGTAGTTTACAGTCTGAGGATTTTATGTTCTAAGTCCTCATGAATATAAAACCTGGAATGTTTTTATCTGTGCCCTTATTTTTATTACACAGAGTCTATGCCAAAAAGTTGAACAAAGTGAACGAGAAGTAGAGAAACTAATGACGGATATAAATCGATTAAAAGAAGCTAGAAAAGAACAGCATGTGCAGACTAAGGCAGCAGGTAAGCAGCAGATGAGCACTGGGTGCTGGTTCCACGTTTGCACGAGGCTCAGGGACAGACGCGTCCCCAGTCCTGACCACCATTACACTGTGCCCCTGAGCCCTCCCCGGGGGGTGAACAGGCACTACAGCGGGGGGTGCTGAGTTGGATAGAAAAGAACAAGACTCATTTTCTCATAGAATACCATGCACATAAACATGAATTAAGTATTGTGTCATTCTTATCCTGAATAATCTGTCTTTTGGAATCATTTTTACTTTATTGACACAGCTAATTATAAAAGATTGTGAAACAAACACATGTTAAGTCCTTATTTTCTTTAGGAGGGAAGACTGTCCAAAACAACCCCCAGGAGAACATCCTTCTTTGTCAAGCTTTACGAACCTTTTTTCCAGAGTCCGAAGTTCTTCATTCTTGTGTTATTTCTTTGAAAAATAGACATATTTCTCAAAGTGGGTGTAACACGAACCACCATCTTGATGTGGCTAACCTGACCTTAATGGTGGAGTATGTTCACAGCCCTGATGCTAGCCCTGTAGCCCAGCTGACTAAGCGTAAGACTCTAGACACGCAAGACCAATGGCCTGTGAAGAAACTACGATTGGAGACAGAAACGAGACCCATGACAGATCCCCGAAGCAGTCACCAAAACAAAACTTCCTCAAGCAACCTAGATATAGACACAGAGATGGGGAGCACAGAAGAGGATGGTGAATACCCTCGCTCTCCCACATTCTGATTCTTGTTAGACGATGTTTTTGTCTTGACCGAGGTTCAAACCACTTGTTCCTATTTTTACTGCATTCAGCTGTTTATAATGTATGAATAAGGTATTTTTACTGTTCAACCGTTTGTAAGATGTAGGTAAGTTAATGTTTTATAAAGTATCTTAGAAGTTCTTATTTATATCTCATACATTGTAAATGTGTCCATGCTCAGCTAAGCTGCAACCTGTCCCTCACTCCCCAGCCTCTTGTCACTGCGCCTTCTGCTGGCCTGATTTCCCTTTCATGTCTCGTGTGCTCTTTGCCTTCCTCGCCACATAGATTCCTTGTTTCCTGTCTCATGATCCCTTTCTATCAGTGTCTTGACCTCTGTTTATCCACATCGAAAGTACTTTTTAGAAATAGAGAGATTGTTTTTCTTCTTCTTTTTTTTTTTTTTGCCTTATTTATACTTGTGGGGCAGGAATAGAATCCAGGGCGGCCGTGTGAATGGTAAGCAACTTCTCTACCATTGAACTAGAGTCTAAATTGTTTGATTTTTTTTGTTTTGTTTTGCTTTTTGGTGTGGTTTTTGTTTTTGCTTTGTTTTGAGACAGGGTTTCTCTGTGTAGTTCTGGCTGTCCTCAAACTCAAAAATATCTGCCTGCCAAGTGCTGGGATTAATGATACACGCCACCCTCTGGGCACTGGTGGCCCACACCTTTAATCCCAGCACTGGGGAGGCAGAGGTAGGTGTATCTCTGAGTTCAAGGCCAGCCTGGTCTACAGAGCAACTTGCAGAACAGACTTCAAAGCTACAGAGAAACCCTGTCTCAAAGAAAAGAAGAAAAGATTCATGCCACCACATCCAGCTAAGATGCTTTTATTTCAAAGCAAAGACGTAAATAGATGCATTCTTTTAAACTAGAACATTCTCCAAATTGGAAATGAGAAACTAGCCTTGTTTTATAGCACGGAAATAAAGCACTAAAAGTTTGTGAGATTGGGCCTGGAACTTGGCTCAGCGGGCACAGGCATCTGCAATCAAGACTGACAACCTGAGTTCGATTCCTGGGCTCCCTCGATGGAAGGAAAGAACCGCCTTCCACAAGTTCTTCTGACTTCCACACATATATTCACTGTGGCATACACATGAAACCCCCATAAATAAATGTTTGTAAAATCTTATTTTTATCTACTTCATTACAATTCTTACTGAAGAGAGAGCCCAGCAATTAAAGCACTCCCAGGATTGGAGTTTGGTTCCCAGCACCATTAGGTAGCTCAAAACTTCACAACTACCTGTTAACTCCAGCCCCAATGCCCTCTTTTCAGCTTCGAATGCTCTCCCTCTCCCTCTCTCTCTCACACACCATATACATAGAGAAACAAACATAAAAATAAATTTGTCCTGTCAGGTTTTAATCCCAGCACTTGCAAGACAGGCAGGATGATCTCTGAGTTGGAGGCCAGCCTGGTCTATAAAGTGAGTCTCGGGATAGCCAGTGCTACACAGAGAAACCTTATCTTGGAAAGCCAAAAGGAATTACATCTCTTAAGAACAATTCTTATCTAAAATGCTGACGGTCTGCTAAGGTGCACTTGCTGGCATGCATGTGCGTGCAGGTCCCGCATCAGGGCAGATGACTGCATGAGCCTAGGAACTGGGAAATCTGTTTCCGTCTCAAAAGTGAACTCATAGTACCTTTACATTTTACTCCTAGACATTAACAATGAATGTACACCTCCCCCTTGCTCTACTTGTGGCTTCCTAGAGAAACTACTTAAGACTTAATTATATCTAGCAATGGCACTTTGACTTGGGTATGACTGGAACAAATTGCTGGGGTGTTTCACTGGTGATGTAGTAAACTGGTATTGTACATGGCAGAAAAGGGAGAGCCACAGTTGTCAGGAGATCCTTTTCATATCACCGAGGACTGTAAGCAGATTGTGTGTGTGCCACCCCTTTGTGTAAGGAACACTGTTCAAAAGGATACACTGGTCTAGGAACAGTCTGTCTTGCAGGGCCTGGCCAAATATCAATCCCACCTCTGCAAAGAGAACTCTCACAATCAGGTGCAATTAACATTTACTAGTTAGCAAAGGACTCCTGGAGCCCAGGAGAAATCTTAGTTGACAAAGTCTCAAGTAAGCCCGAGGACTTGTGTTTGGAACCCCAGCAACTACATTAAAAGAAGGAAAAGGCCAGGGCTTGGGGGTGACTCGGTGTAAAACTGCCACACAAGTCTGACAACCTGAAAACTGTTCTAAGGGAGACTGACTGAAGAACCAAGTGCAGTTTTGTGTTTAACCCCAGTACAGTGGCGTGCATGTGAGTCCCAGGACAGGGGACACAGGGAAAAGGCTCCCTGGGGCTTGTGAGTCAGCTGGTCAGCCTAAGTGAACTCCAGATTCTGTGAGACCTGGTCTCAAAACATGAGGTGAATGGGTTAGCATGATGGCTTGGTTGGTTGAGATACTTGAGTTAAGCCTGGAGACCTGGGTTCTGTCATCAGAACTCATGGTTGGAAGGAGAGAACCAGTGCTTGGACAATGACCCTCTGACCTCCAAATGTGCCTTTATGGCAGGCACACACAAATCAGTGATTCATATATATGTATGTATGTATGTATGTATGTATGTATGTATGTATATATGATACATTGAGAAAGAGGTCTGATATCTTCTAGCTTCCATAAGCCCCTGTGCACACATGCACACACAAAACCACAAAATTACTCCAAGCAAGCTGAACTCCACAGCCAGTCACATGGAATTCAAACACTACCTTTCTATAACCATTCCCCTGAAACCATCCCATTTGTAAGAACAGAATTTAGGCTCAGGTAGATTCAAATAGACACCCTCCCCTTCCATAATCAAAGGAACTATATAAAGAAGCTGTGACAACCACGAGGCACCACTTTTACCCAAGTATACAATGTAACATTACCATCTCAAGCAGTGTGTCCACAGACACTCACTGGTGTGGAAAGGGCGCATCCCTCCTAAACCACTGAAAGACATTTCTACTCAAATTGGTTTGAGCTGGTGCTGACATATCCACTTCCAGGTTTATTGGCAGTAACTTTACACAACTTATTCCCGGTATCTGATGTTACAAACTTTAGGGTCTTTGAGATATGCAGGGTCCTTGTATGTAACCGGCATAAACCCTGTAAAGAGATAATTAAAGTTCTTCACAAAGACAAGAGGCAAATCTTAACTAGTCCCATTCGTTTGTGTAGGGGGACTTACCCATTTTCTGAGCTCTCTTAATGGCTTTTGTTATTTCTTTCTGTTTCTTTCCACAAAGACCTGTGAAAATAGAACAGGTACTTTTCTACACATCAGAAAAACACGAACACTACACTTATAGCAGCTTTCTAAGTTGAATACTGCTAAGTTTTTTTCTGTGAAGAAAGTGAAAAACCTTTTGTGGGTCATTTGGTCTCACACACTCAATGTTACTGTAACTCAGTGACAACCATGTGACCCTGTGTAAACAAAAAAGCAAATGAGTTTGGATAGAGCCATCAGTTGCTGGTCTAGGAATGGTGATTTTACAATAGATTTACTTTCACCGTCTTTAATGGGGGTGGGGTATGTGTACATGAGTGCAGGTGCCTGCAGAAGCTGGGCATGCTGTATTCTCTGGAGCTGGAGTTACAGATGATTATGAGACACCTGATGTGGGTGCTGGAAACTGAACTCCAGTCCTCTGCAACAACAGTATGCATTCTTAACTGCTGCACCACTGTCTAGATCCAAGATACAGTTTTCCTTAAGCCCAAGTTTCTGTATGTTGTCACCCTGAAGAGAAAAGAGGGCAATTGCTCCTTGTACTGAAGGTCTCCTTCTCTTAAGGACCTCACTCCAGTCCCTGTGGCAGCTGACTTAATAGTGACTAAAAACTTGTCAGTCTCCTGAAATAACAAAATCGATCAGCATGAGATTCTTACCTACGTTTACATTTCTCAGATTAAAATAGTACCTGTTATGTGCCTCCCATAAATGCATCCGGTAAATGGAGAAACAAACTGGGACAAGAGCTGTTTGGGGGATATGTTTAGAAGGAGAAAAATAATATTAGTATATTTGTTATTCAACCCTGAATGCGCAAATTTAAAAAACATTTAGAAACGACCTTCAAGTTGTTAACATTTAATGTGTTGCAGACAAAGTTAATAACATGAAATAAAATACCTTGTAGCAACAAGGCATCTTTAGAAAGTTAACATCTAGTGTATCACAACTTGACAAGACTAAGTAACATGAGTCAGCCTATGTGTTAGGTCCCAAGGGTACTGACTCCCACGGGCACCTAAAAACACTGCTGCTTACAGCCAGTTACTGGATACTTCGCCTGTCATGGCAGGCTATGGAGGGAGCTCTTGGGACATAGACTAGGACATTTACTCTAACCTATTTTTTTGTTTTGTTTTGTACTCTAACTTATTCTTATTGAACACGTCAATAACTTTGTAGATAGTAGACACTGTTCTTGGCTCTTCCCACAATTGTCTGCTGCATTGTAGTTTTGATAATTTATAATTTCTTTCTTCAAAGGAGGAAACGGTTAACTCTAATATCACTCACTTTCCTAAATTTGCTGAAAGCTTAAGGAGAAACAGCAATTAGAGCAATAGCATGTGATAGTGAACTGCAAAGGTCAGCTCCAAGAGGAACTTTCCCCAAAGCACTCATGTCTATCAATGTGCAGTGAGCTACTGTGCAAAAACAGAGAAAAGACAAATACTTAGCCAAATAATGACAGGTGGGAGCCAAGGGCTCTGAACTGAATAGAGATAACATAGGACATTATAACCACACTTGATATCATGAAGTTGCTGAGTCTGTCCTACATAAATGATGACAGTGACACGATCTGAGCAAAATAAACAAGGAACAGAATCCTAATCAAGTACCATAGAGGTAAACCAACACTCACCTGTACATTCTTATAATCAACCTGTTTCTCACACAAGATACACTTCTTAAGGGGCTCCTTATAGGGGTTTTCCATCAGGATTGGCTAGGATAAAACAAGAGTCTCATGATGAGAACGTGTTAAGACTGAGTCAGAAAAGGTAAGGCTAAAGCTACACTTACAATTTCTTTACGCAAGTACTTTATTTTGTGTCAATCTGGCTAGAGAGGGATAACCTCATGAAATAGAAAAGGACTTCAAGATAAGCGTGCTGATAGAGGATTCTTTGCTCAAATGCTGCATTAGTTTTTTTTAAATTAATTCTACTAAGATTTTATTTTAAAGTAATTCTTTGGTATAGTTTTATCATTTTCCCTCAGATTTATTGAGAGAGAGAGAGAGAGAGAGAGAGAGAGAACATGTAGTGCCCACAGAACCCTGAAGAGGGCCTTGGATCCCACAGAGCTTGAGTTACAGATGGTTGTGAGCTGTCCAATGTGTGTGTGTGTGGGGGCAACTGAACTTGGGTCCTTTGGAGGAGGAGTACATGTTCTCAAACACTAGGCTATCCCCCTCCAGCCCTTAAAATTCATCCAGTTTAACTTTAAGAAAAAGGTACAGCACAATAGACAACATACAATTCCTAAGTTAGGACAACTGCTAACTTTAGCCATCCCCAAATTTTCTGTCTGGTGTTTTTTTTCACTATTTCATTTTGTGAATAGGTAATGTTCCATGACTTCCTGCCATAAAAGGTTCATTGATATCACCTTAATAGACAGCATATAAGTTGTGTGGGCCCATTTAGCTTTTCTATCCTTGATGTTTCTGGCACAGTGCCTCCCTCTTACTAAAAGAATACGTGTCACCAGTATAGAGACTTTAAAATCTTTTTCGTTAGCATACAAAGAAACAAGATTTATTATGTGAGATTACATTTCTGTGTGTGTGTGTGTGTGTGTGTGTGTGAGAGAGAGAGAGAGAGAGAGAGAGAGAGAGAGAGAGATTATACTTCTACAGCTCTCACTGAGCCTGTCTTGCTGGTCCCCTTCTTCATTCCCAATAATAACCCTTTCTGCTTTTAAAGTAGGACTAATGCAACATATGTACCCCCATGATCCTCTTTTGTCCCCCTACCCTTTGAAACTCTTCTTTCCTTCTGACAGTCCCTTTGTTTTGTTTTGTTTCTTGAAATAGATTGTCACTATGAGGCTTCAGCTGTCCTACAACTTGCTGTGTAGCACATGGCAGTCT